CTGCCGCGAACTGGCGCCGCTTCTAAGGAACTCATTACGTGACAGCGTTCCAAGGGAACTTCCCAGACCGCCACCAGACGGAATATCAAATCTCTTAACTTGTTTTAAGATCAGTTTCCTTGACTTTCCTGCCGGCAGTCCAGAGACACTAACTAGTCTAGGCTAGTTTTTTGTAGGCTGGCGGCACAACATAGACTGCATCTAAACAAAGAAATAAGTGTGAAATTTTCGTTTCCGTACCCCTTTAATAGCCGTGCGGTCATCTAAACAGGGACCACAGCCCAGAATTTCAAACAGCTAGACGAAAAAAAAAAAATCAAGAAAAGAAAAAAAAAAAAAAACGCGGTCGTTACGAAAATGAAAATAGAAGAGGCCTCATTTAGAGCTTCATCCGCTCTCTGAGCGGCGCGCCGAAGCTGCAATAATATACAGCTTCGCTAACCAACGGAAGGGCTGCCAAAACTCATATACCGCGAGCCGCCGGATGGAACGAATGGGGAGAGTGGTGAGTATCTTTTTTTTCTGTTTTTGTTTTATATATATATACATATATAAATTGTTCGGTTATTTGATTTCTTTTTTTTTTTTTTGGTCTGAGAACGAAGTTCCGCGTTCTGCAGATCCAATCTTTGCCCTGCAACGGTGGGAGATTCTAGGGGAGAGGGGGCGGATGGAGAGAAGGCGAGCCAAATGGACGCCACAGATTGAAGGCACAAAAAAACGGGAGCGCCGGCTGGGCTCTGCCTCTGCGTGCTACACAAACCGCAGGATAAGAAAAAAAAGAAAGAAAGAAACGAGGCGGAACGCGTGAAAAGAGAGAACAGGACGCAACACGATCTAACAAAAGACCGACCGTAAACAAAGATGGCCGACTTTATAGCGCGGCCAATAGCGTATCGCCTTTCCGCCGCTCCCTTTATCAAAAATGGTCCGCTCCCCCTCCCCCTCCCTTCTCACTCTCTCCCCGAGAAAAAATGAATGAAAAATAAAGAGAAAGAAACCTATTCGAGAATAATGCGGAAAACGAGGGAAAAAAAAGATGAGCAGTGCATGAAGAGCCAAGCGCGCAGCTATGCGCCCGAGCGCCATTTTGTAATATTTGGTGCTTCAAAAAGGTCGGAGTTTCTCCCAAGATACCTTTTTTTCCCGACGAGACAAACTGCGCCTTGTTTATACACAAGAGTCATACGTCCCGAATATGAAAACAGAGCACCTTTATATTCCCACACTTTGGATTCATCTTTTTTTTTTCTTTACGTCATTTTTCACTCGTTTGTTTACGGTGTTTTTGGTTGTTGCTTCTGCCAATATTATTGATGTTCATTTTCTTCGCTTCTCGAGTTCTTTTTTTTTTTTTTTTTTTTCTCTGTAGGATGCTATCTGTAGGATTTCTCTGTAGGATTTTTGTAGGGTGTAGGATATACACCTTGCGCCGCGTCCCACCAGAACGGAAGGAACGGGGTCCTCAACGGTCCAGAAACGGAGCGAAAGCGAGACGGAGGGGAAGAGGTAGAAAGAAAGGGAAAGACAGAACATATTCCAAGGGACGGAAAGTATCGCGGGGAGCAATCTCGGGAGAGTCACGTCTTGGATATCGAAGGCTCGTTTTGGGAAAGTGAGGCACGCCACGTTGCACGCACGCCAAAAAGAAAAGATTTCAAACTAGCAAGAAAGCGCGTACACGCACTCTACAGAAGAAGAAAAAAAAAAGTGATCTAAAGTGCAGCAGAAGCAGCAGCAACAACTCCTCTTTCTCGGCGCGGTCTGTCTCATCCCTCCACCTCCGTCTCTAAAGGAACTCTCACTTTCTTTTTCTTCCTTTTTTTTTTCTCTCCCTGAACTCGAACGTACGTATGCGACCAGTGTTGCTCGCATTGATTCCGTCGCGGCGGCGGCGTCTTCCTCGCCTTCTCTCGGTTACATCGACGCTTTTCCTTCTCTCGAAAAGCAGCCAGTTTCTTTTCTTCCCCTATCTTCACCAGCGTCTTCTTTTTCCCGAAATGTCCCTCTCTTCCAGCCACAATAAAAAAGGGGGAAAAAAAAAAGGACGGAGGGGAGGACGGAAATGTGTTTCTCGGGAACTGCCACCATCGGCGGACGGATAGCAATTTAGATACAGTATCGGAGGACGTCGCTTCCTCGGCACGGCGCTAGGGACGGAAAGGAAGGCCCGCTGTGGCGGGGACAGGGGAGAAACCATTGACTTCTCGAGGAGGTTTCGCGGGAAAGGAGGAAAGGCGCGATTGTTTCGGGGCAAATTGGCAGCCGGCCCGGTTCGGGAACGATGTGCCGAATTGAGCCCCCCCCTCCTCTTCCCCTCTTTCTCGCGTAATTGACTGCGGCGTCCGATGGCTCCAGGGCTAGAGAAGGCATCGGTCGCCGGGATGAACGACGCTGGTGCTTCCTGGTAGCACGTTTCGCAAGTCGAGGCTTTCTAAAGTTCATGGGTTCCCCGTCGTATCTGTAGACAGTGTGGATATGTCAAAGGACTGCCTCCGTACACAGTGTTTTTTTGTTTTTTTTTTCGGGATGACAAGTGTTATCGGGACTATAAGTGCAATAAACGGCCGTTTTCAACGAAGGCGTTGGTATGCAAGCCGAAACTCAGTATAAATCGCACATAATCACGTAGCGCCGCGAAGGATGGCGCGCGGAGTTGCTGCAACTTACGAGTTCCGGTATAGGCTCCCTAGGGGAGCCCGAGTTGCGCGTTCATCCCCGCAGCGTCGTCTTTCCTGCATGGCATTTGATCCTCCTCCTCACGTGATCGAATCTCGGCGAATAGCGGCGCAGCGGAAAACAGACGCGCAACTTCGGCTCCTAACTGTTGCAGCCGCAAGCCTATATCGGCCACGCTTCCGCCCATCCTCGGACGTTGAAGGAGCAGGCCACCGGCGGGTGTTCTGACGTTCCTCTCTCACTGTAAACATCAATATGGCCTACTTTGCACACAGTTAAACTTCGTGCTCAGAAAATAATAAAACGCATATACGCCACACAGACGAAAATTAAAAAAAGAAAATAAAACGCGTGTTTGAGAGCTGTTTCTAAACACGCGACCCGAAAACACAGTCTCCGTCGTGAATTCAAAAGTGAGAAAATGTATAATAAAAACAACAGATCGGTACCGCACACACCAGTGAACATCCTGACTAGTTCGCCATTGTCACCTCTCCATCATTCTGTCCTCCCTAATCTATATATCTACCGGCTCACTCGACTTCGACAATTCCTTTTCTTGAAACACTGTTTCAAGTTCCCGACAGCTCTTGCTATGCTCCGTTAGATTTGTGCGGGTAAACAGAGCAAGAAAAGATAAGGCAACAACTATACCGGTCACGTTGTTTAAAAAAAAAACAACAACATTAGAGCAGTTATATTTTCAGATCAAAAGAAAGGGGGGGGGGGGGGCGTTCTTTCCTTATAAACTCGGCACGGCACACAAAAATAACATTGTAGAGGCATGCACGCGTTACTTAATTAACTCCGCGTAAAGATAAAGTTTTACCGCACGTTTTACGCTCTCGAGTCTTCCAGCGATAACGACAGCAAACTTCACTTCGACTAAATAAAAATTAAGCTATACGTGACGAAAAACGTACGGCACGGCTTCTTCATGGGCCTCATTTCTAACGAATTCAATCAAAAGTAACAGTGCCTAAGATCCACGCGGAGCGATATCGATAATTCGGGAATTCTCGAAAAATAACCAGACCGAAACTTCCGCTTTTTTCGCCGCTGTTTATGACGCTATCCAGGACTAGCTTCACCTACATTATACCGGCTAGGGTGGAAAATCGGGAGTTAAAGGCCGACGACCAGACTCAAGATTCTGCAAGGCAGAAGATCCTTCTCGCCATGGGCAGGAGGAAACCGGCAACGGTGGACAGGGTAGCAGGGGGAGAGGAGGAAGCGAGGGGAAAGTGGAAAGCGCGAACTGGTCGTCGGGCTTTAAAAATGGTATTTTAATCGATTGAATATTCGACATGGAGATTGGAATAATCACAGGTGCTAGAGTAATATGGTAGACATGCCGTATTAACCAGAGTCCTCATTGTTCATGTTAGTAATGAAAATCATAGATTGACTAGAAAAACAAACGAAAACAAAAACCTCACCCTTTCGTGTTCATCCCTGCTTTCGGTTAGTTTCTCTCATACAATGCCGTGACACAGCGCTCGGTTTGCCTGTTACTAATACTTGCTTCTTAGCTCTGCTATTCTTTCTCGTGTACCCGTCGTAAATTATCGCCGAAGTATATATATTTTTTTCCTTAGTCGCGATGTGCACTTTGGGTATATCGAAGGAAAGAACAGTGGAACGCGATAGCTTAACATATAAACTCCCGCCCATTCCCAGACCGCGCAAGTGTTACCTTAGATGAACGAAATGTATGTCGACGCCTCTACATGCCATCTGGCGACAACATTGGTGTACCGCGATTTGAAGTGCCTTTTGTTTTCTGACCTATTACCATGTAATAAATAAAATTTAAAAAAAAATTATCACAGGGTGGCCTAGTCTAGCCTGTCCGGCTACAACCGAAGGGTAGTGGGTTCGAATAACGCCAAAACGTCTTAATTTCTTTTTCCCTTAAAGTCAATGAATCACTTCATAAAGTCAAACCATTTGAGACACCTTTAATTCGCCTTACATGTTTTAATCGCTTTCATTCCTCGCGCGACGTGAAGTTTTACGTGAGCGTTGTAGGTGGTTTGAAATTCCCGCGCGAGGTAATTTGGCTGTGACGTCATGACCCTATCGACCAATCAGGATTTTCCCGTCACGACGCCACAGACGCCGACTTTTCTCCGACACGAGCTTCTTAACGCTATCGCGTTCAAAACGTACGAAAGCGGAGTTGTAACTGGCTCCGTAAGAAAACGTGACGCAGGAATCGCGCGTTAAAATTCGATGTCTCGGACGTTTACGAGTCGTATCTGACGCTCTTTGCGTAACGTGGGATCACGAACGAAGAAGAGCGAGACTTCCAGACTCACCCGATCGAAGCCGGAGATGGGCGATGGCCGTCCGCTTCCCAGAGTCCATCGGTAGAGGAATCCGACAGGATTACGTGCTCGATCGCGCCGCACGGCCTCCCACGAATCGGTCGCCGAGAGCCTGAATCGGAGATAAGAAAGGGGTGGGGGACACCATTACTATTTGTAGGTTCTTTTCTTTTCTTTTGTCGTTTAGGTGCTTTGCAATGCGCGCTACTACAGAGAGCCACCTCGTTATAATCGCAGCATTTTAGTTCCAGCTCACAATGTGACTCTAGTTCGTTTTGAAGAAAAACATGCTATACAGGCCCGTAGCTCTCAAGTTTGAGCAGCGCCTCTGGCGAGCAAAATCTAACAGTCTTTGGTCGCGTTTCGGTTGTGTGTCATTACGCTTTTATAGTTAGATCGGGGGCGCCAAGATGGCAAACTTTCATCAGTTGATATTGGATTGGATTGATACAAATTGAAAAAAATAGCGAGGAAAAAAAAAAACAGCAAGAGAAACATTCTTATCGTTTTGATAAGACACCAAAAACGTAAGCTGCCCTTTTCTTTTTTTTTTTCTCTCAATTACTTCTTTTATACGCTGCTACCACGCGTAGACAGATGCTCACACAGGTTTGTAAACCACCTTGACTTGTGCTTAATCAAATACTGCCGCGCCACTTTAGACTCAATACAAGTATTACATGGTCGCGTCTTCAGGACGCCCCCTGGCCGAGAGCAACAGTCCTGTAGCTAGACCGTTGCATTGTCCACCTTCTGCGCGCAGTCGTCTTTGTTCAATGGGCTGTGGAACGTGCCCTGAGCGTCTGAGGTGGCTCCCTCTTCTGCGCAATACCAGAAGCCGCGCACGCGAAACACAGCCCAGTGACTTCGCCTTTTTGTCTGGGTGACAAGCGCTGGAAAGGTGGACAAAAGTCCCGCTTCTTTGAAGCGACGACGCACGTAGTGCGCAAGCAGTCATGCGGAGAAAGCGCAACTTGCAAGGGGCCGAAAACCCGTCAAAATGTTCCGGAGCTACCTTTTTCTTTTAACTGTTTTTTTTTTATTTTGATGAGTAATACATGTGATTTTATTGTATTACATTGCATTATAATAGCCATATACTCGACGCAGGCAACATATTTCGCTCTCTGGTCGAAGCAAGGCCCTATAGGTTACCCAAATCAATTAAAAGTCATCCCCCAGCTCCAATGACGAAGAGTCAGAAGTGAAAAGTTGTATTTTAATAGTCACGAACTCGCAGTGGAGAAAATAGTTCGCTCTCCATTCGGGGCAAGCATGTGGATTGCCGAAACCAAAGACCATTCGCAAGTCCAGAGGACGCGGCGGGTGTAGGAAAAAATGTCCCCGGAATAAATGTCCCCGGAAAAAATGTCCCCGGAAAAAAAGGCCCCGGAAAGAAAGGCCCCGGAAAAAAAGGCCCCAGATGGAAAGTAGGAAAAAATGTCCCCAACGGATTTTCTATCTCTGGGTTTCCCTGATCCTCATGTGCTTCGGGCGGTCCGGTCATATATGTCCTGGGAAAAAAGGCACCGTGTGGCAGGTAGGGGAAAACGGCTCCGAAAGAGGATTAGTGAGAACGAAATTTTACCGTTTGCATTATATCCCCAAATAAGCACCTTCAATACCTATAATAACTTTGATGACAATTAACCTCTCGTTTCTATAAAAAAAATGACCGCATTTCCACGTGGTGAATTATGTTGATTGGGGCGAAGCTCTGGTGGTGCTGATGATACTGATTTTATTGTTCATATGTAGTGCTGATGGTGCTGATTTTTTTTTTATTGCTCATAGGTATTGCTGAGTTCCGGGTTGCGTTTCGACTTCATTATTACTGCTTTATGGTCAGTGAAATGCAGAGCCAGTGGTTCTTCTAGCGGATCAGCTTGGATCCGCTGGATGCCGTGGGAAAGCATCTCCACGTCCATGTCAGAAAGAGAATGTGTGGTATAGAACGTGGTTATATACGCATTTGAGCATTTGACCGCAGCGCCCTCCGCCCTCTCCTCTATAAACGTTGAGCCAATGCATGCAAAGTTTAAGGCGATTACATACGCATTTGACCGCAGCGCCCTCTGTTGTATAGACGTTGAGCGGCTACATGCAACGTTTCATCCATGACATCCCCAGCTCTTGAGTTACTACCACATCTCAGAGCCCCTACTCGTCCCGCAGTTAAGGCGATGGACTAGAAATCCATTGGGGTCTCCCGCACAGGTTTGAATCCTGTCGACTGCGCAAACATTTTTTCTTTTTTTAAGAAGACAGATGGGATGGCAATCGATGTGAGCACGGACGCCGGACGGACAAGGCTAGACCCTAAAAAACTTCGCCCCCTAAAAAAATAAAATAGCGATCGCTTGTTTGTGTTAAGTGTCGCGCTTTTTACCTATTTGGAAAAGGGTACACAAGTACCTCTCAAATTTCCCGACACAATAATTTGGTTTTAGCTAGAAGTGTTATGAATGTTTTATTCACAATGAAAAACAAACACAAACAGTTGAGATGCAATGTTGCACAATCAGGAATGAAATGACAAACTCTTGATTCATACACAAAAGTCAAAAACGGATTGTACTTGAAGTGGAAAAAATGTCCCTGTGGGGACATTTTTTCCTACTTTCCACCTGGGGCCTTTTTTTCCGGTGACATTTTTTCCGGGGACTTTTTTTCCGGGGACATTTTTTCCGGGGACGTTTTTTCCGGGGACATTTCTTCCGGAACCCGGACGCGGCGCCCGTCGGAGGAAAATAGCGTGAAGGAGGGAAACGGGCAGCTAACGCCTATCTCAGTGCACAGCGAAAATTGGTGCGGCCTGGCGGTCGAAACGTAAAAGAGAGAGCAAAGAGCTTTAAAGGTTGATGGTCGCACGATGATCATCGATTTAAATTCGGAAATCATCCCTGTTGCAGCAATGCTCTCTCTGACTCCTTCATTCCCAAAACGTCATCTGAATGGAACCGCCTTCCAGCACCTTTAGTGTCTATACAATCAGTCGATTAATTTAGAATTTCGACAACCATTCATTTTTGTTAATGGACCGCTCACGTTTTAAACTGTATTATTTGTACTAGACTCGTTTATATCAAATTAATTTGTTTTTGTTTTTGCCCCTCCCTTCAGTAAGTCCGCCGGAACACGAGGGCATTAAAATAAACATACGAATAAATGTACGCTTTCAAAGTTGCAAGTACTATCCGGATTCGGGCTACGGTCAAACTCCGGTTACAAAGAATTTGCGTGAGCAGCTGCTGCAGGGGAGTTCCCAATAGCCGGAGTCAAACTTTATAAGCGAGGTCACCGACTATACAAAGTGGACTACGAGCACGTGGCATTCCCTAAATGAACGGAAGAAACACCAGGAAACCAAGGCAGCTCGCCCGAAGACAAGAGCGTTTTATGCAGCCTTTTGTTCGTTTCGCCATCCAAACCCAAGCATGGCGCGAAAGCGGAGCAGATATTTCATTGGAGTATAGAGCGAAGAGCGGAGGGGTGGAAAGTTGGTGGAAGGGTGTTTCCGGGAAGGAGAGGTATTTCTAAAGCGACTAAAATTGAGCGGACAGCTGGGGAGATAGATCTGACATCCAACGTTTATTAGAGGGCCAAGTTTGTATTTACCCGGCAGCAACCAACACTAGCACCCACCGCCCCCCCCCCCCCCCCCCCCCCCTCCAAAGAAAGAAAAAAAAGGAAACAGGAGGAACTAAGCAAGTGGTTCCAATAGTGTAGTGACTTCGTCGGTCCGAGAACCGGCGAAGTTTGTTGCAGTACTGAAGGAAGCGACTGCGAAGATATGGGAAAAAACGCGGGAGGCCAACGGGAGGGAAAAACAGGGCTGCGCGTAATTACTTATGTTCTCTTCTTTGTATGCTGTTTATTTCATTGTCTCTCTCTCGCTATTCGCGATTTTCATTGCGTGCTTGTTTTCACCTGCTTTCAAGGCTTTGTCTTTAAACCACCAGTCGCTGTGAAAGTCCCGATTCGCTCGAGAAAGTTGGCTTGCGAGCCTGCCGCGACAGCTTTTTATTTTAGCCGCCATATGTGCCGTCGAGTTCACAGTTGTCGCCAATACCACTATGACATTCTTTCCCTGATTATGAAGTTGCCGGTACCCTCTACTATTGTTTCCCCATAAACTGTATTCCTAATCTCTCTCTCTCTCTCAAGTGATTTTATAGAAGATAAGGCGATATGCGGATTGAAAAATCGCGTGGCATTTACTGGCCGTCCAACTTACGAATGAGAGCCCTTGATAGTGTCTGCATCAAGAGGCCTGATGACTCGTATATTGGGGAAGTACATGAACACTCCCAGCTTACTGCTGTTACCGCGCCGCGAAGCCTACCCAAAAAACACCACTCGACGCGGCAAAAGTTGCCGCTCCTTGTGCAGTCTTTGTTTATGAACTTCCACCGGGGTGACCTGTAGCGTTCGCTATACGGCGCACTTTAGGAACGAACGAAGCGTATAAGCATACAATAGGGGAAAAAAAAGGAAGACGCTGTTTTTTTTAATTAGCGAAGCCGCCATGTCGGCGTAAAGCGCTCGTTCCCGACTTCGTCGGTTGCCTGCGTCGCTAACCTACCGTTCCTCGGTGCTTGTTTGAGTGGCCGATTTTGTTTGTTTGTTTGTTTCGGGGCAGAGCTGCGCAACAACGAGGAGACACGAGGGGAGGTTAGGGGGAGGAACGGAAGTTGTTGGGAACTCACGACACGGAAGGCTTGACTTGATTCGGGGAAAGTGTCGGCGGCTTGTTTGGGACTGTGCCGCGCGAAGCAAATGGAAGGAATAAAATACACTTTACGCCCTAATGCGATCACTCTACTTCTTTAGACGATCTTTACTCTTCCATCGGGGGAGGGCCACTACTTTGGAGATGGCGGAAAAGGATGTGCGACTTTCTCCGCTTCTCTCCGGTCAAGGTCAAATTTGGAGGTATTTTACGTGCCAAACCAACGAAGGGCATCTGGCACGCCCCAGCGAAGGACTCAGGATTAATTTCGACCGCCCGGGGGTCTTTCGACGCGCAACCGAAAGCTTGGTTACACGGTACCACCTCAGCAATAAACATCCGTCAGACTGCTGGCACCTCGACAGGGATTCGAACCCGCC